CAAGATTGTTTATTGAATTGAGATTCTGAGTAGCTAACAAATCTTTGTCACTTGCAATGAAATATAATTCGGGTGAGTCATCTTTCTGATTGGCAGGTTTCTTTTGGGTTTTGTTTTTAACTTACGTGATGGTTCAAGTAGGAAATTGCTTGGTACATGGGCTTGGATCTTGGGAAGATTTCCATAAAGCGATTTGCAGATGGTGAAATATATGTCCAGTTACAAGAGAGTGTCAGAGGATGCAATGTATACCTTATACAGCCAACATGTCCTCCTGCAAATGAGAATATCATGGAGCTTATGATAATGATTGATGCTTGTCGAAGGGCATCGGCCAAAAATATCACTGTCGTGATTCCCTATTTTGGATATGCTAGAGCTGATAGAAAGGCAAGTATTTTTGCATGTAACTGATATAAACTTTTGTGGTTTGTGGTTTTATATGAGGATCTACACATATCACATAGTGGAACTGATAGGGTAGGTAATAAGCCTAGACCTCCTATCAAGAATGTATATGTTAGACGCGGGAAACAGAAGTAACTATCGGATTTGTTGTTAGGATTTATGTTATTAGTTAGTATAAATAGTAGAGATTAAGTGGAATAGAGGAGTTTTTTTGGTAATTGACAGTTTTGGGGAAAACTGATTCATAGTGAATCAGTTGCAATTAAGTCAATATTGTATCTCACTATTTCCATAAATTAATACACTGTGCATACTCATGGTGATTCTGAAGAATTCTTTCATTTTACTCTTCAATTCTTTTCTTCCTGATCACCAATTCTAACAGGAACACTATATTCCTATTCACTGGCTTACCACTTTCTGTGTAATTTTCATTCTTCTTTCTGGAAAAAAAATTGGCTTATTGATCTTTTTCTCTCATGCACGTCCTAATGGAGAAATAATTTGAAGCTGTCTTTGTAATCTTATTGAAAGATTAACACTCATGGTTGGTTTCAGCTTTTTGCTTGATAATGGAGTTGACTAATCAATGGGTTTTATAAACAATTTTTTTCTTCCTTCACAGACTCAAGGGCGTGAATCCATTGCAGCAAAACTTGTTGCAAACCTTATTACAAAAGCTGGGGCTGACCGTGTTCTTGCTTGTGACCTTCATTCAGGGCAATCCATGGGTTACTTTGATATTCCTGTAGATCACGTTCATTGTCAAGTAAGCTCTAAATTGTTGTATTTGTTTCTTTACTCCATGTTTTCTAATGATTTTGTTTATGCTGTCCATCAGCCTGTGATCCTCGATTATCTTGCCAGCAAGAGTATAAGTTCAAATGAGTTGGTAGTTGTTTCCCCGGATGTTGGTGGTGTTGCAAGGGCACGTGCTTTTGCGAAAAAATTATCTGATGCACCTTTAGCTATTATAGACAAAAGGCGACATGGACACAACGTAGCTGAGGTAACAACTGGAACAAAATCGTGAACAACATTGGCATGCCACACTTTTGTTGGGATTGGCAATTACGTAAAGGATTGTACTTATAAATAGACATCATTTGGTTTTTCTTAGTGTTCATAATCTCTAATTGCTCTCTTTCCAGAAATTAATTTGCCCTTCCTGGGACTTACTTTGAATAGAGCCATCAAATGTAGCCTTATATAATGGGTATTTGGTGCATATCATGTTAAATGGTTTCACTGTCATATCTAATTTCGATTTGAATTTTTTCTCAAAAAATGATAGTCTATAAGAAAATGATTCCTAGCTGAAGTATCTGCTCGGCATGATTGGAAGTAATGCTGTAGAGTTGAAGTGTGCTCGGTCCTACTTCAGGTGCTTATTAGGTTAATAGCCTTTTATTTTTATTTTAGGTTTTGATAAATTGGCTTTAGTAGAGTCAATTAGGACCTATATCCATTCAGCCTTAATATGATGCAGTGTCTCACTATTGTCTGAGGTTCAGTGCTTTTAAGTTTTATTAAGGATGTGGTGGATTTAAGTTCAAGAAGATTGTGATACTACAATAGGATGGCTAGAACCGTGACTTTTGTGGTTGGTTGGATATTCGAGTGCCATAATTAGTAGGTTGTTAGGTCATTGGCCTCTCTTAAGTTATATTTGAATTTACCAGGAATGAGGGACCTGTAATTGTGATTGTTATTTTTGCATATGCACATTGTTTAGCATGATATACTTATTCCACTCAAGAGCTGAAGCAATAGTAGCAAAAGAATGACTATAATTGGTTGTAAATTATCACATTCGCTCTCCCATTTAGATGTAGGTTCGTAATGGGGATAAATTTAAGTTTACTATATGGATCTTCCAAGGTATATTTATCTGTCTTGTATTTGCCCTGCAGGTGATGAACCTGATTGGTGATGTAAAAGGCAAAGTTGCAGTGATGGTGGATGATATGATTGACACTGCTGGTAGGCGATTCCATCCCCAACTTAACATTTGAAAATACAGATTAAATTTCCTGTGTTATTTTGCAATGTAGTTGTTACTTGATGTCTCAGAGATCGAACTAAGCAAGGCTTGTCTTTACCAACTAAAGCTTTCTTTTCAAGTTATATGTAAATTTTAGACCTTTTTCACATCTTGCGAGGTGTTAGTAACTTTTGTTATTTTTCAATATTTTTTCTTTATAACGTTCCTCTGGCATTTTGTTCTGCTTAGTGTGTTTTCCTGGACTGGACACGTCTTACGATTTATCATGACCTTTCATCAAACATTACCCCATAGGCTATATATTTTGATCTTCCTAATTTTATAAAAGTACTTGCATAGGAATTTACACAATCATTCCTTCAGGGACTGCTGAATGTAACTTAAGACACCGAGAATTTAATTATTAAATACTGTCTTAAGATGGTGAGTGAGGGGAAAACCTTTCATAATCTTATTCTAACCCATGCATTTTCTTGAGAAGATGGTTGGTTGTTACTTGAAAGCTTTAGCTTGCATTTCCTTAAGAAGCATTTGTGATCTTTCGCTCTTTAGTTCATGTCTGTTGCTATATTCGATCTCTTATTCAATTGTATGGGGAATCAGGGACCATCGCTAAGGGCGCGGCACTGTTACACGAAGAGGGAGCCAGGGAAGTGTATGCATGCTGCATTCATGCAGTTTTCAGGTACTGCTTTCAATTGTGTGCCTTATTTTCTTTATTATTGATCACATATTGTCCGATAGATTATTACTACAGCAAGCAAAGTTTTGGAGTCTACACAGCCTAAATGTGAAAGTGTTATATACATGTTTAATCATTTATTTACATTGTTTTCATCCCTTGCATTATTGCATCAATGAGGTCATTATAATTTTGTTGCTCTAGCATCATTATATGTGAAGCAGTATTGAGATTATGGTTGTTTTGTGTTGTTATTTGAATGATCATAGCCCTTCTGCAATTGAGAGGTTGTCAAGTGGCTTATTTCAAGAAGTGATTATTACAAACACCATTCCAGTTGCAGAGAAAAACTATTTCCCCCAGTTAACTATTCTCACTGTTGCAAACTTGTTGGGTGAAACTATTTGGCGTATTCAGGATGATAGTTCTGTCAGTAGTATTTTTCAGTGAACACTCCAATCCTCCAATTTACCCTTTTTATGTAGAAGAATACTTTAGCTATAAAAGAATACTATGGATGATGATTTCTCATTGTTTGTACCTCAATCCCAAGTAGTATAGAAACGATAATTCGACAGTTCAACCGGGTATTGAAGTGATATTTTTCAATACATCTATAGATATTTCTCAATAAATTTTGCGTATAAAAACATTAAATAAGAGAAATTAAAATTTTAAATTTGTCTTGCTATTTTTCTTTATCAAATTCTCCTTCCACTACTCTTTTATTTTATCAACTTAGCACTTCACAAATATATTTTCCCAAGAAGGTAAAATAAAAGTATAAATAAGATATATATCATTTTAAAATAAAACCTTTTCAGTAATAAACTTATTTGTTTGGCCAATAAACATATTTAGTATAGTATTTAGGGAGTCTATAATATAAGTTATAAACGACTTAGTCCTTTCCAAAACATATTTTCTTTTAATGAGTTTCTAAACAATGCCCTAACTAAGAGCAATTGTTAGCAAAATAAATATTAAGTAAAGTGTATCCGCAAACTAATTGTAAGGATTTCCAACACAGACACTTGAGTAACACAATCTTGTAACTTGTTAGATGTCTTGTAGTTTCTAAAGTGATTTGTAGCTTTAAAAAAGAGAGTATATAATGTTCCAAAATTACTTCAAATAGTTTTCCAATAATCACAAGAGATTTCAACAATTCATTGAACAATTTTAACATTTGATTACATTAATTACGTTACACTAAAATAAGTACACATCATCCATTTTCTCTTGTTAAGTTTTCATTAATCTTGAATATGACCAATTATTTTTATACAAAAGTGTAGTAGAGAAAACATACTATGATGAGTTAAGGAGAAGTTATTAAACTGGATAAAACTTATGTACAATTCATTAGGTATAAATGGTGCTTGTAGCCTATTAAAAGGTGACACGTGTTCATTATCACCTATACTTTGAAGAGAGAGATTCTTAATTGCAAAAAAAGAGAAAGATTTATTGATATAAATGAACACATGTCACCTTTTAATAGGCTACAAGCACCATTTGTACCTAAAGAATTGTACCTAAGTTTTGTCCTATTAAAATACAAGATGTGACCTCAGAGTAAGTGGATCCCTATTACTAAATAGTTAAGCAAATAATAGGTTTGGTGGACTCATTGGGCCCTTAAAATGACAAATCTCGCCCGATCCAACATGCTGGAGCAAATTCCCCTAATGCTGCATCAAACCCTAATTTGTACCTATATAAGTAAATCATCACCATTCTCACAACCATGTTGTTCTTGTTCTTGTCTCTTCTCATTGCGTTCTCTCATTTGCATCTATTCTCTATTTTGATTAGCTTCACTAATTTCCATGGAAACGTTATTTGTAAAAACATTGTTCCCGTCAATTTTTATTCTCAGTTTATTATAGATTAAAGTGTTTTGAGCCTGTGATGAAGATATAACCGTGCCAGAGATGAGTATCTTATGAATTCGTCGATGACGGCGCAATCCTCTAAGAAGTTCTGAGCTCAACCTCCTTTGTTTCCTTATTTTTGTTCTTCAAATTTTGATAGTATCTAAATAATAACCGTTTGTTTAAATTTCCATTCAATTATCTGTTACTTAAATATTCAATCTTAGTAGTGGTTGTTCTTTCAAATTTAGGGTTTTGTAAAGTGTTGAAAAGAAAAAAAGCGAAGTGATGATAACAAATCATGTCTGTCAATCCGCTGATATATTTGTGATGTATTCATGTATCTCGACAGGTTCTGATCGCTCTCTAATTTTTCATCATCTTCATATTTTTGTTTATAGATATTGTATGCATTGTTTTAAACAATGTTTTTATTATTAACAAGTTGTTGGTCTAGTGTTGTAAGGTCTTGTTAGATTCTCAGGATGTCCGAAAAGGTAAATGTTTGATTCTTGTGAGTAACATTTATTAAGATAAAAAAATAATGTTTTGATTGTTTAGAATTGAATGGTTACATTATTATGAAACAAAATTGTGATGGGCATATGATGAATCTGATGTTGTAAATGGGTAATTTGCATCTGAATTCTTTTGATGTTTTTATCACCTTGGAGAACTGATGCCCACCACTTTCATCATTAATAAATGGAAAAATATGTATCATTTTGTTATTTCATCATCAACCTAGAACAGTTGTAATAAACCAATCTTTGAAAGGTTCATTTCGTGTTTGGATTTTTTTTGTTGCTTTTTTCTGTGATTTAATTTTTATGAGTTATTTTGTTCATGTTTGTTAACCATTTTTATGCTGTTTAACTAATGGGGTGTTGACTGTGTTGAACGGATTAATTCATTTGGATTAATAGGAAAAAATCATTTATCATTTATGAGAAGATATTGTTCAATAAATAATGAAAATTTCAACTGGATAAAAACCAAAATCTCTATTAATGCGAACAAAGGTGCTGAGGCAGATTTCATATTTTCAGATTGCTTAGTCTACTTCCATTACCACATATCATTGATGTATGGTGGATCCAATTTTCCATTTCCTGGTAACAAAAACAGAACAAGATACCCTTATATTATTTGAAATTTGAGAATCCAACCACACAAAATATCATTTTCAAAGGGAACACATACATAAGAATTTATGAAAGATAAGAAATTGAGGCAGCAGCAGCACCAACACATTCAGTGGGAGTAGGAAAGAAATCCACACAAAAATAGTTTTTAATTTATTTTTTCATATTCAAACAAGCATAACAAAAACAAGCAAAAAATTCCAAATGGACATTTTTATTATTATGAGAACAATAATGCAAATACTAATATAGCATCCCTATAACTGCAGACTTAACACATCCACAAAATTGAGAGACTAATATAGTCACAGTCAAGATTTGCGAATAACCCAACAAATTGTAAGGTTTCTGTAGAGGTACGACCTTATATTAAACAAACAAAACCATAGTTGAGACCTGAGATTTAAACAAATGGATGCTTAGCTTAAATAGGCAATTAACAACTTAGTGTAGACTGATTAAGATTTATTATATCAAATATAGATGTAGACCCATTTGATATCTGGTCAACCATATTCTTAGTTTTTTTTAGAGTATGAGTTTTAGCCCAATGGTAAGGTTGATTGACTTTTGATGTGCATAGAATGTGTGTATATAACATTTAAAATATTAATTATAATTGAAAGGTGAAAATGGTATAATATAAGTACACAGATATATGTTACGTTGATACCTTTATAAAAAGACAGTTCTTGCCAAAGCTTTAATTCAATATATGCCAATTTTGTGCTAATTTAAATTGAATAATAAATAATGTGTATATCTCCTAAAAATGTTGTTTTTGGATTATAAGTGAGTTATATGAAGATAAAAGAAGTTATATATTTGTGAATAATGGATAAGTTGAAATGTATATATAAGTAATAAGATTTATAAACCTAATGCCTTAAGGTTATATATTAAATTGTGGTGTCAAGTTCATTCATATTATTTTCTGTTTTTGCCTTGTTAGTTAGATTTCTTATTGTTTTAAGCCCCTTTATCTCGCCAAGTGGTATCTTAGCCAAAGGGTTATTGTGGGTGTCGATTGTTTATAGATCAATGTGCAAATTTTTTTGAGGTTATGTCGAAAGTCTTGATTGTTTATAGATCAATATGCAGAATTTTTTGAGGTTGTGTCGAAAGTCTTCCTAACAAAATAAATGATAAGCGATATACTTTGATAGAATACAAAACTGAAAAGCCTCATGTTTGTTATGAATGTCACTTGCAAGAAAACATGAACATTGTTGATTTGAGGTGTTTATTTTTTATATTATAGTATAATGAAGTAGGAGTTGATAGTAGAAAGGGTGTTTTTGACATTTTCATTAATAGATGGTTACAAACTCAAAACCTTTTGTATTATGCCACATAAAAGCCCAAGCTCAAATATTTGTGAACTACTTGTCAAGTGTCATCTACATTCTTGGGAATGAAATTGGTAACATTTTCTTAGAGGATATATAAATGTTGTATGATATGCTTTAAATCATATGAAATCTAACTATAGAATTTTCAATCTAAGAAAAACAAAAATAACAAACTGAATATAGTTGCAATATTTCAATATTCTAACATCATGATCATTCATGTCTCACCATCAACATAATACCTTGCTTAGCTAAACTTGCTAATAATCTATATCCTCAAAAGTCAATTCAATAAAACTAGTTAGGACCAATTTTATCTACACTTGTATAAAGGCAGACTTAGAATAAGCACACATAACCAATCTTTGCTTTGCTTTTCACTTTGCGTTATAGAGTATCGGTATCAGATACATATCGAATAACACTACTCATCATCTACTTATTATTCTTCATTGGATGAGTTACTTTTACTGCTTCCAACAGTCCAATACTCTTTTACAGCAACCAATATTTTCTGAGGTACAAGTGGACCATCCTCATGATCCATCATTTTGGCTTCCCATTTCATTCCTCCGACAATTTTCGTAACCTTGTTCAGAACATCGACTTCATCACGGATGATGACTGCTCCTTCCGGTCGTAGGATTCGATCCATCTCTACAAGGATGTCTTCCAAGTTGCACCTGTTTAATCACATTAGCAAGAGTTTCATTAAAAAGAGTAGTAGAAAACTATTGTGTCAATAGAAAGGTAGTGTTCAGTTAAACTTTATATCCCTAACTTGAAGCAAACAAGGTGACATTGATGCCGAAACACTCAAGGTTGCAGTTGTTTCTACTTTCTTCAAAGATTATCTTAGAATACACAAATTATGATCAATGGCATAGGGATGAAGAGGACGAAACTTACGTGTCCTGGTACAAACTAAATAAACCATTAGCGTGAATAAGATCATATGTCCTTGGGTATGTAGAAAAGCCTTCACACCTGAAGGAAGAAAGAAGAAAAATGTCGGCAAATTCATAGTACAAAATTTTCTAAAGTTAACCATGAACCTCGGTTTAATTTATAACTTTTGTGAGTAAAGGAAGCTAACTTGCAACGAAAGTCGGCATGAAATTAGAGAGAACTTCTATAAACTTACCAGTCGTGATAAATTCCAATTAGACCTCTCTCATAGACAACACCTAAAGTGTTGTCAGCGATGGTGGGCACAACATTCATCACCCAAGATTTTTGCGATTCAAGCGCGGATGCAAATCCTCCTAGGCCTGCATTCATGTCCATTACATTCCGATATCTAGTAGTGCCAATCAATCTATTCAATCTTTTGTAAGCATTAACATGCATTTTCCATAATTTGTTATCCTCTTGATAAGAATCAGCTGTAACCCCCGGAACAATGCCCTTAGCAATTCGAGGAGGGACCGCAAAAAGCCTAGCCGGAAACTTCTTCAATCCCCCTCCAGCAACTTCACTTTTGCTGCTTACCTCAGGGTAAGGGGTTTTACACACCTCCATTTTTTTGTACCTATTAAACAAAATATGTAAAAAATATAATAGAGATGGAAACAAGAAGCAATTATATATATATAGACAGTAGACACGCACACGGGAACACAAAAACACACATATATAAACACAATGCAGATGCATCAATAACTTGAAAGCTTTGAGAGAATGAAATGCTAAATAATTTCAAGGATCAAGCTAAAAACATACCTTGTAATACCGAAACTTCTGGAGATAAAGTAGAAATTTTAATTTTCTTATTTCCCCCGAAAAAAATGAACATTCTAGGTATTACTTTACTGTGATGTCTCCTGTTGTGAGAAAATCTTAAATGTAGTGAGGTTAAAAAAATTGTATTTTCATACAATCACTTCCATTTATTATTATTCCATGCCGCATAACACAGGTCACATTCTCAACTAAGCCTAGCTCATCTGAAAAACTTGCTAAAGAACTTGCAGTGAAGATTATCCAAAAATGTGGATAAGAAATAAAAAGAACAAGATGAACAAAGTATGTAATCTTGTGCAATTATCGATCCATTCAAGTATATATAAGATGATAGACTTTTATAAGTGTAATGGATGTGATGTCTGAAATCTGAATGAACAGAATAAGGTTGTGTCTTACCATACATCATCAGCGTTATCTGAATCACATAACTTGGGAGACTTTCTTAAACATGATTTAGCATTTATGTTCTTCCTCCAAATAGCGATGTCGCCCTTTTCATACTTCTTTTCCCAGCATAGACTTTCAGCTAACTCCTCGATTTTTCTCTGCTCTGCCTTAAGATCTTCCTTAGATCGCTGCCATGTCTGGTAGTATGTTTTCCAATTAATTGGAGGGCCAGATAAAATCCAGTATCCACCAGGCCTTAAGACTCTATCAACTTCCATTAGATACATGCCCTCTGTAATAAATCAACGGGTGGAAAATCAACATTCCTCTAGAAAATGTTTCATTCAGATTTATACATATTATTCTTTCGCCTTTAACTTTCTCCTCCTCTCTGGGTTTAATGCCTTTGAAGCAATACATAAATGCATCAACTATTGACATAATTTTAAAGTAGTTGAAGATCTTAGCAATATGAAGTTCTAGAAACTTGGATATATCTGGTGCGGTATCCCCAGAGGTAGATGCTAGAAGTTGAAGGGAATTGGACCGCCAACAAATAATATAGTTTTGGAGCAAGTTTCGGTAAACAACTTAACTAAACGCTTTTTCAATAAGTGTATGTCATATGAGAGCTTGTGACTTTCTTATAAGCTCTTTTTAGCTTATTTCGCAAGAACCTCTCACAAGCTTATTTAAATAAACTAAAAAGAGCTTGGACGAAGGAAATAAGCTATTTTCATAAGCACGTGCTTAGTGCGTATATGATAAGATAAGCCCAAATAAGTCTACACATTGATCCAAATGGCCCATTAGACATCTGGATCAAAGAAGTGGATGCTTTAATGAACTTGCAAATAAACGATTTTTTCCCCATCATAATCTTTGGCAAACTATTGCATTGACATGTTTTCCTAACATTTGTATAATTTTTGTTTGATAGTTTGGTCATCTACATAATAAGAAAAGGTTGATAGCACAAAACTCCTCAACAATCTTATAGACAATCCAATTTAGCACTAACCATTTCCAGCCCATGGAATTAGACATCGAGAACATTG